TAGCATTAATGTAAGCTTCTATCCTATAGGATCCGACCGGATTCTGAAAATTGACTTCTGGAAAAGCCAAAAAGGCATACCTATATATCTGTATTTCAGCTTACCATTCATATTAGTTTCTATCCTGTAGGATCCGACCGGATTTTGAAAAGTGAATTCTGGAAATGGTCCAAAAGCCATACCTACATACTTCTCTTCAAAGTTAGCATTGATATAAGTTTCTATCCTATAGGATCCGATCGGATTCTGAAAATTGACTTCTGGAAAAGGCCAAAAAGGCATACCTACATATTTCTATTCAAGGTTAGCATTGATATAAGTTTCTATCCTATAGGATCCGATCGGATTTTGAAAATTAAGTGCTGAAAATGCCGAAAATGGCATACTTATATATCTCCATTAGAGCTTACCATTGATATAAGTTTCTATCCTATAGAATCGGATCGGATTTTAAAAATTCACTTCCGGAAATGGCCCAAAATGCATACCTACATATCTGCATTGAAACTTATCATTGATATAACTTTCTATCCTATAGGATCCTATCGGATTTTGAAAATTCATTTGTGGAAATGGCGAAAAATGGAAACCTACATGTCGCCGTTGTAGTTTACCATTGATTTATGTTTCAATCCTATAGGATCCGATCGGATTTTGAAAATTGAGTTCTAGAAATTGTCAAAAGTGTGTCTCTACATATCTCGCTTGGAGCTCATTGTTGATATAAATTTTTGTCCGATCAGATCCAATGAGATTTTGAAAATTGAATTCTGGAAATAGTCAAAAATACATACCACTATGTCGCGATTGAAGGCCATCGTTGATATAAGTTTTTATCTTATCGGATCCGATGGGGTTTTGAAAATTGAGTTCTGGAAATGGCGAATAATGCATGCTTCTATCTCACATTGTGGCTTAGCATTGATATAATTTTCTATCCTATCGGATCCGATGGGATGGTGAAAATTGAGTTCAGAGAATGGCGAAAAATGCATATTTGTATTTCACATTGTAGCTTAGCATTGATATAATTTTCTATCCTATCGGATCCAATGGGATTTTGAAAATTGAGTTCTGGAAATGGCGAAAAATGCATGCTTCTATCTCACATTCTAGCTTAGCATTGGCATAATTTTCTATCCTATCGGATCCGATGGGATTTTGAAAATTGAGTTCTGGAAATGGCGAATAATGCATATTTATATCACACATTGTAGCTTAGCATTGATATAATTTTCTATCCTATCGGATCCGATGGGATTTTGAAAATTGAGTTCTGGAAATGGCGAAAAATGCATATTTGTATCTCACATTGTAGCTTAGCATTGACATAATTTTCTATCCTATCGGATCCGATGGGATTTTGAAAACTGAGTTCTGGAAATGGCGAATAATGCATGCTTCTATCTCACATTGTGGCTTAGCATTGATATAATTTTCTATCCTATCGGATCCGATGGGATTTTGAAAATTCAGTTCGGAGAATGGCGAAAAATGCATAGTTGTATCTCACATCCTAGCTTAGCATTGATACAATTTTCTATCCTATCGGATCCGATCGGATTTTGAAAACTGTGTTCCGGAATTGAGCAAATGGGCATACCTACATGTGTATTTTCTTGTTTAGCGTTGATATAATTGTCTTTCGTGTCGAATGTGATAGATTTTTGAAACTGATTTCTGGAAAGGACTAGAGATGTGTGCGTATAGAGCTCTGTTCGATAATATTATGGTTAGAATGTTGTATCGTGTAAGATTGTATTGAATGTGTGGAATATGGGTGTGGAACTCTTTGTTGAGGAATGGATGTATGCAATTTAGTGTCTGTTTTTGCTTTCATCGATTGGTAGGCTAGTTTGAGTATGTTTTTGAAAGGCGATGTTTACTGTAAAACGCATGTAGTTTTTTAATTCATGAGAATGTGTCGTTAGGGGCGAATGTTTAGCTTTTTTTGGCTGGCTTTAGCAGAGATGCTATTATGGACGTCTGGTAATTTTATGAGGATAGATTGGTGAATAGTATTGTTTGAGTTAGGCTTCGGAGGCGGTTCGTAATGGTTTTGTGTATGTGTATATTAGTATTTCGAATTTGTGTGCATTATTTATTGTGCGTTGAGATGTTTTTTTGGTTTTAAATATGGCATTTGATGGATTATGAACAGTTGGAGCGATTCGGCTTCCGTTAGTAACGTTAGTGTTGGCTGCCGAAAGTGGTTTCCGATCGGCTTCCGTTCCGATAGCTGCCGATCGGATGTCGACAGTAGGATCCGATAGGATTGCCGATACCGGGGATTCCGTCACATTTCCGTAACCGGTTTTCCGGGAAAATCCGATAGGATTCGGCCGAATTTGGTAGGAATCCGATAGGATCCGAGACGGAACCTATCGGATCCTATTATCAGATTGGTCGACCTGGGGAGGACTCAGAAAAACCGAGTTTTCTTGGACATTCATTATCTCGGAAATGGAACATCCATTTTTGCTGAAACTTTTAGCATATACTAAGGATCATGAGACCTACATATGGACAAAACTTCAGGTCAAAATTTCTTCATTCGATGTTTTCGTAAATACCTTGCCATAGATCGAAAAACCAGTAAAATGGTCATAACCTTCGAAAAAAGCACCATGGGTCCAAATCCTTTTAGACTTTTTCTTATCATGATGACCCATACATATGGGTAGTGACGGCGCCAGGGGTGGGCTGGGGTGGGCTCAGCCCACCCGGAACTTGATTGAGCCCACCCTGGAAGGTTTTTGGTATTGATATTGTTAAGAGAATTTTTTATTTGCATAAAAGAGATGTAACGCAACGTAAAAAGGTCTTTTGTAATTAAATCGAAGTTTAATTTCTAAACCGTTTCTAATGCTTTTCAATTTGAAAAGAAATCCTGTAGATGCCAGGTACATACTCAAAGATTACCTGAATGATAATACTTCTTAGAACAATAGTTATACCATTAGCTATTTGAAGAATAAACACGTTCTACATGAAGTTTAATGAGCTATTGTATTCGAAAACCAATGTATGATAATCATCTTTCTAGTTGAGTACGCCAAAGAACATTTAAATCTTTGAACTATACAGATAGTTAGTGGATTCGTACCGAGTGGATATAAGTTGCCTTATGAAGAGTCTTTCACTACATTTATAGTATTTGAAAAATTATGTACCGTTAGAAATGTCCTCAGATAGGAAAGTTGACTTTGCTTCACTAAAGCTAAACCTTGACTCTTTTGCTGCAGATCAATGGTTGAAAATTCTGTTGCTTCGAATCAATATAGTGCAGAATTGTCAGACTTTGTAACACTTCAAACATTCAAATAGAACTTTCAAAATATCTTGCGCAATATAACAGATTTCATCCTTCATAAATGTATTCGGCTTTGTCTTCCAATTATCTCGACTAGACTGTTTTCGAGTCAAATTTAGCAATGCTCTTTAGTATTTTGGCCAACAAAACTGACCATGTTGGCGACATTGTTTTCACAAATGTTTTACAGGAGGTAAAAAACGATATCACCAAGGATGTTCCGAAGTGGCAAGAATTGGAAGGAGGTCAACGATTTTTTCGAAAAATTTTCAAAGTTTTTTATAAATTATGGGAATTTGCGAAAAATGTTTTGCAAAATTTTCAAAAATTTCTTAAAAAATTTTTGAAAATCGTCGGACAGCGAAAACAAAATTTTTGAAGAATAGGGAGGAAGTGACCCCGGACCACCCTCGCTTGGAACACCTCTGGATACCACCTAACAAATCCAAATAATACAAATTTATTAGTCGACTATGATTTTGTAGCTGCTGTTTTTTAGTAAACAGAAAACTTAGTCTCTTAGATCTTCTTGTAAGAAAATCTTTCGATTTCAGACTTCAGAAAAGAAGAAGGTAATTAGTTCCTTTAAATAATCATAGCAATGGAGAACCTTAAATGTTGGTAAGAGGAAACGACAGAGATCACTGAAGGGACAGAGCAAATATACATGAAAGATGGTTTTTGAAGCTCATATGAAATAACATAAGGTTAAGTTTCGCGCGATTAGATGGTCGAAAATCGAGAAAAATTTTTCAAATGGAGATGATCGTTCCTTCGCCTTTTCCCCGAAATTTACCGCTGAATCACAGCATTATATTCCTATCGATACCCAACAGTAATTTTGGCTTAAATTTTTTGTAGGAGGAAGGAACTGAAGATATATTTTTTGGTCATCGATTTTTTGTAAAAACTCTGGGTGGGCTCAGCCCACCCCGGCGAAAAATCCTGGCGCCGCTGCTACATATGGGCAAAATATGAGCAAAATCGGCGTGAATCAGTTAGAACGGTTCCCTCGTTAGTCACATCAGTAGATAGATAGACATCTGTTTTAACTCACACTTTCACATTATATATTGAATCTTAAATGAAAAACTAACTTTCATCTACCGAGACCTTAATTCCGTCGGATATTTAATATAAAATTGTAATTTATTAAACTTTAATTTTTGAAAAAAGTAACTTAATGGAGATAATAAATAAGTTGTAGTGATATATTCATTGATTGATTGTATTCACTAAGACATCCAATTGATTATTTCTTGCTCTAGTCACTCGTTCTTTTACTTGCTTGTTTGCATATTATCCAGCCATTCGACAGTGAAGCGTCTTGTTGTTGCATTTCTTTCAAAAAATCCTGTTCGATACGCTCGAATGACTCGCCCGTGTTTTCCTTTCATTGGTCAAAAATTCGACTAATTTTCACTTCCTTCATTTTGAGAAAAGAAGAAAAAGAAGAATGACCTGACGGATGGAGTAATAATGAATTATAAGAAAAAAATATACGACAGAGAAAAATGTTATTACATATTCATCATTGGCTAACATGACAACAATGAGAAGATGACGATATATATAGATTGACATTCATACAACGTATGAGTTGAACATGGACAATTCAAATAATAATAATCTGAATATTCTCGATTTGCCCAGTGAAATATTAATTACTATTTTCAACAAACTGAATATGGTTGATGTCCTCTATTCACTTGTGGATGTTAATGAACGATTTGATCGATTAGTAATTGATCCTCTTTATATTCGTCATCTTGACATGACCATAAAATCGTCGTTTGATCGTATTTGTTCAGTAGACAATAAAGTTCTTTCAAGAATTTGTGAAAAAATCTTACCTCGAATTTATGATCAAGTAAATAAATTAATTGTTGAACCACATGCCATGAAACAAGTTTTTACTATTAATTATCCTCAACTTTATTCGTTATCACTTATTGGTTTTCAAGAAGAAGAGCTTTTTCAATATTTAACAGGTATATTTTTTTGTTCGTTATTATGAATTTGTTAGACATAAATTAATAATAATTGTTTTATTTTTAAATTGAAGATGATTCAGTTCTTCGTTATCTTCTTACTGAACAAATCACAGATCTTAATATTGATATTCAAGTTGATACAATAATAGATTTCTCTCAAAGTCTTTCAAACAAGTTTGAGTTAATATTATCTTTAAGTAAAAGATTAATCAGTTTAAATTTTTGCCAATTATTTGGTTATCGAACTTTGCCGCTTTGGTTTCCTACTCCACCATCAAAAAGTTGTATGTCTTTAACTTTAACTAAATTGATAATTAGAGTCACAATTTTTCGTGACTGTCTTTATCTTCTTGATGGTCGTTTCGATTGTTTATCGACATTGATAATCCATGTGGAAAATATTTCGTTAACACCATCATGTGAATATAACACAGTATGTATTATTTTGATCATTGTGTTTTTTGAGAAAAAACTAAACTGAAAAGACAGTTATCTTTATTTTTTCCTTCTAGGAAAAACTTCCTAAATTAAAATATTTTTCATTAATCTCGTATACTGACACATTTTATTATGACCAACTGATTATTCCATTACTTCGACGAATGATAAATCTTGAAGAATTGATATTATATCTATTAGTAATAAGATATGACTCGACTTATATTGATGGTATCGTATTATATGATGAAATTCTTTGTTATATGCCACAACTAAACAAATTAACATTCAATATAAATACAGATGTTCGCAATAACAATATTAGAATTGATCGTTCATCAAATGAAGATGTTCAACGTAGTTTTATTGGAAGAGGATATGGACAAGTTAGTTCATATGTCAATACTTGGGCCATGAAAACTCGAGGCCGATGTCATATCTATTCACTTCCATTTCAATTCGAATATTTTCTTTATCTGAACAACTCTTTTCAAGGTGGCATCTTTGATAAAGTTCGATACTTGAGGATAATTGATATACGTCCTTTCGAACACAAATTCTTCAAACTAATCTCTCAAGATTTTCCTTTTCTTAAATTCTTATATATATGTAATCATCAACCACAAAAAGGCAAGCAACATTTTTCTACATCGATTATATTTTCTCATCTTGCGCTTCTCCATATACAGATGGCACATGTCGATTATGCTGAACAATTTCTGTTGAAAAAAAACACTTATCTACCTCGTTTGTTACGTCTCTTCGTCGGATATGAATCACTCGAAATTGTAACAAACAATTTTACCAATGATGCAGCATGTTTCAATTTCGGTAAATTGGAAAATCTTAATATAGCTGAACCGTTTGTTCGTTCAGAAAATTTTCATCAATACTTTCCTTTCTTCTAAATATAATTTTTGTTAAAAATTGTTTCAATAAATCGAAGTAGTTGAAAAAAGTTAAATATATTTGGATCATGATAGACATACACCAAACTCAAACCTAAACCGTTTGGGTTTGGTGCATGTCTACTCATAACTAAATCGAAGTTTCAAAAAAACCATATTTTCTTTAATGAAAAAGTATATATAAACTCATAAATTAAATCATTAAGATTAATTATCTACCTTCTCTTCAGTTTTTATTAAATAAGTTGATGAAATTTTACTTCAGCATAATAGGATGTTTTTCTAAAAATATTGACATATGAAAAGATATTTAATGTAAAATCACAAATATCTTTTTAAACCAATTCTTTATTCTAAAACTTTTACATCATCGGTTATAGAGTTCAACATGTATTTGATACTTTCATTTCAGTAGATCGGAAGTAACAAAACTTCAAATGGAACTCGGCTTGATTAATCCAAAAATCATATCTTAGTTTTAACTTGAAATATGCATCAATTTTAGAGATATTCTTTAAATAAAACATTCATCAAAGATTTGTTTTAATAATAAACACAATATTTAAATTAAATATTCTCTTATATATTTTTTTTTGACATAACTTTGCACTGTTTGACTTACAGCTGAGCATTATTAGTTAAAAACAAGCATAGCAGACAATAATTTGAGGAGAAAAAAAACAAACAAACAAAAAGACAGTACACCAAATGAAAATTAAACGATGCTATAAATTTGCACATGAATATTTCTTAATATTTTCTATCCATTTCAATATATTAGCGATTATTCCATCAAGTCCAAAAAAAAAGAGAACAAAATGACTAATAAGCAACACAAACGATCGTAATTGCACGATAATATCTCATTTCTATCTACCATAATTGTATAAATTCGACACCAATCCAATTTTCTTCACGTTTTTTCCAATAATTATGTACTGAATCATCATCACGAATAAGGACAAATGAATCACCATCTTGTTTAAACCATTTAGGACATAGACCAGTTGCAGAACGTGATCATTGAGCTTGTTCAATACGAGCTTTTTCTTTTTCAGCTTGATCGATTTGTTCAGCTTCGAGTAAAGTAATATAAAAATAAAATCAACAAACCATTGATCAGGTCGAAAACGTGTATCTGTTGGTGGTAATTGTTGTTGAAGATCATCATCAACTTCATTTAATTCAATAGCAAATCAAGTAAAACGATAATATTGTTTCGAATTTTCCGGTACAGCATCTAAATAAAATAAAATCAAATATAGAGGAAACATTCTATGTAAAAAAAAAAAAAAGAAGACTAATCTCAAGTAATTTTAAGTATGACTATTAAAGCCAATGAAGACGTATTTAAACTTGCCAATATCAACCAATGATTTCTAAAGATCAAAACACTTAACGGAGTATATTTGTTCTGTAGCAGAACTCTGATAGTTAAAATAGTGCTTTACAATATTTCATCATTCTTTACTTGATATTATAATATTGGAAGCACAGCAAAAGTAGTGACGACTCGACGAAAAGAGAAACATAGAGGATCGATTTATCGAAAGTGTTTCTATATTCTTCTTTGCTTATGAACTTGTTTACAGAATGAAGTATCCATTCGGAATCGCTAAGATTTTGCTTGATCAAGTCCAATAATAAAAACCATATAGTACCAGATATAGAGAATTAAGCGAATGCGGTTTTATTGTGACACCTTTTGATTCAAGATATCTTTATGAATATGTGGTTTCTGCAAGGGGGAAACAGCAGACTCCGGGACTCCGAGGGACTCCACAAGATTCTAAAGATGGCCAAAGCAGCACAAGATCTTTATAGCCCTTAACTCTTTTTCACTATACGAATAGCCCAGCCGAAAGCGTTTTGGAAAAAAAGCCATCTTTTATGCGTGAAAAACTACATTTTCACGTTTTACGAAAGTAGGGATTTTGGACAATGAAGGAGCCTTATGCAATTCAACGTTATGAAAATCATTTCTTTCGAAAAAAAGAATCGTTTTAATGAGTAAAAAATGTGCGCTTTTCACATGTAAAAACTTCATTTTTGTCACCTTCGGTCTGACTTGGAACGACCTATTCCATGTGGGTTCTCCCACAAAAAGCCGCCGGCTGCTGAAGCCGATAGAAGGTACTTTTTCTTGTGAAGTGTAATGAGTAATACGTACAGTAAAACAATTAGCTGACAATACTATTGTATTGGAGAGAGGCACCTGACATACAAGTATTACTGGAGAATCCGAAAGATGGAAACAGAGAAAAATATACTGAAGCTTGTGATCTTCAACTTTTTACTGGAGTACGGTGGCAAACTCGTTCTGATTGCATACTCTGGTTATTCAGCACCTGGCGTATTTGCCCATACATAGCTTTTAAATTTATATTCATGCTACAAAAATCTTTTCAGAGTTAGACCAGCAATTGTAGGTAGTATTCAGGTACAAAACTGAGTTTTTAGAATGTCTTTTATGCTAGATTAGAAAGTTTATTGGCTTATTGTGTTTTATAGAACAAATTTTGCTCTTCCAAGCACCCTATAGTTCCATTAAAAATTCATTGCCGAATAAAACTGTATTGAACTGATAGTTCAAATGAAGGTCTGACGGCAGGACTTGAATACATTTTTCCATTGAACTTTCCTCATATGACTAATATCAAGAGAATATATAGAGCATGTTTAAAGTGAGGTATGCGTAATCAACATGAATATTTCGGTGTCTTCACTCCTCATCAAGAGCATTAAGGATAGTATTTGTTACATGAAAAATTCGAACTAGATATACAGATGGACACACTGAAATAATTCACTGAGGTCATCTCCATACAAACAACCAATACTTGAAGATTTTTTCAGTATAATGTTCAGATTTCTGTGAATTTTGTGTCGAAAAAATCTTTAAATTAAACTTTTATTGCAACTAAGAAACAGTTAGCTCTGCGGTTGTTTACGTATATAATGCTGAAATTATCATCTTGATTCGAAATGTAACAGTGACCACAGTTCGATACACTATGTCATTATGATTTGTATGACATGCTCGATAGGAGAGATATTCAAGTTTTATTGCATAGTATACATATTATCTATCACTTCTGTAAATAGTTTTATTCGGCAATGAATTTTTTAGTAAAACTATATATCACCTAACTGCTTCATCCTGGAGATTTTTCTGATCAATATGATTAATTTTGGTATGGCATCACCACATGTGAGCATTATATATGAATCACAGCTGATCAAACATGAATGTACAAGATGATTGTGACATAGACAATGAAACTTTCAAAAATGTCTAGTAATGATGGCTTGTACAAATGTTAGAAATTTTATGCCAAATAATTATTGCTTTTCTATTAAATGGAATAAAGCAGACTATAACCCCGTGTGTCTATTCTCGATTTCCAAAAAAGAGAATTCGAAGCAGATATTTTGATCATTTCAAGTTTGGCTGAGATTCCAAATATTGGGTTTAGTAAAGCGAAATTCCCTCTAAGAGATACATGCAATCAGTGAACTCTTCAATGCAGTTTAAACCACATTTTATGGATTCAGTTTGGCACCTGAGTGTTACAAACAACTGCTCATACGACTCAGGAAAAGTTTGTTCTGCATGAATGAAAATTAAAAAGCTATGCAAGATCAAATACGCCAGAGGATCTCCAACTAACTTTTTGCACGATATTTCAAATAACACGGTAATATTGTAGGATAATTGTTTTACTATGTATATAAACCGTTAAGCTCTAAAAGAAAAACTACCTTCCCGCCGATTTCAGGAAATGATCTATATTTGTGGGCAAGGGGGAATAAACTGATTTCAATAGCTGAAATCAAGTTGAAATCATTTGAAATCACCTGAAATCATCTGAAATCACCTGAAATCACCTGAAATCATCTGAAATCATCTGAAATCACTTGAAATCACCTGAAATCACCTGAAATCATTTGAAATCACGAAATCACGAAATCAGTTTGTTCCCCCTTGTGAAATCTACACGGATGATATTTATTATAAAGCTTCGTGTAACTACAATGCTCATAGATCTATGTTATTAACAACAAAATATAATTTTTCTCTAAATTCTTCATGATAATGATAGATGAGCGAACAAGATATATTAAATTCGGTATATCTATTGAAGAAAACTGGTGATCATGTGTTAGCCATCAAAAAAAAAACAATATCAGTATCTGATTTTATAAAAGAAAATTTGAATGATAAAAATCTTCTATTCACTATTCATTCATGACTCATCGTTTAATTAATGAAGTCAAACATTTGTTGTTTTTTTTTCGTATAATCAATGAATACAGACAAATTAAAATCTAATAAAACTCGATTAAAATCAAATGAAAATCTTCGTCAAAAATCTACTGAATATTTATTTCAACCAATAGTACAAACAAATGATATAAATAATCAACATAAACCACCATCACCATTTCAAACTGGTCTTAAATATTTAAAATTATTAGGTCAAATTAAACGACAAAATGAAAATATATCAATTGATACACATGAAATAAAATCAACAATTATTGATAGACTTGAATGTACATCAGCATTTTCAACAAATTTAATAAATAAATCAATTCAAGTTGATAATTTTGATGAATTATCATATAAAACTGCAATAAATAATAATAATAATAATAATTATTATTATTCAAATTTATCTTTCTATGAATTTTTATTTAGTTCTATTTTACTTTTATTATTTATTTCAATAATTTTATTTATTCAATTAAATTCATATCCAATACATTGTTTAATAAATAAAAAATTTTGGTATTATTCAAATGATTTATCAAATGGTTTTCAATGTGAAAATACAAATATTGAAATTTATTATTTTGAAATTTATTCAATAATTTATCAAATTGAAATTAAAAAAAATTTTAAATCAATAAATTGTTTAGGTTTTGATATACTTTCATGTTTACCAATTGATTATTTATTAATACCTAAAGGACATATTATTCATCGTAATGATCAATTAATTAAATATTGTAATTATACACAAAAAATTCATTGTCAAAATCAATCATTAAATATTTTACCATATGAATATAAATGGAATTTAAAAAATAATCATTTTCATGAATTATTTCATTGTTCATGTTTAACATATTCAAATAATACAAAATGTTTTCATTTTAAAATTAATAATCAATGTGATTTATATATACCATGGTTTAATTATTGTTTTAAACATTCAACAACAAGTTCTATATGTCAAGCATATATTAAGAAATTATAAAATAAAACACAATACAATTCAAGTATTGACACATACATATTTGTTGAGATAAAAAAGAATTGATCGTGGGAATCAACACTTATTTGATAATTCAAATAGATGAAGAAAAAAAAACAGCGGATATCAATATATTAAAGTGTTTTTGTTGTGTTAAAATGAATTAAATAAAATAAAAAAATAGAAAAATTTTCATTTCGATTCACTCGAATAGACTGATTTTTTGGTTAGTGATAGCAATAGGTTTGACCTTATTTCATTGAAAAATTAAGATTAATTAATAAATTTTCGTAATCCATCGCCATAGTTTATGAAAAAAAAACAAATACAACTTTGTATTAGAGTAGGTGATTCTAATATAATAGAAATGAGAACACAAAATTCAATAATTCATAAGATAATGACAACAAAGTTTCATTGTTGCCATGTTGAACGCATAATCTTTCTTTAATTCATCAATCAGCACATATAAGTTTAGATTGGAGGTGACAACAATATTTGCATTGAATCGGTGGTGCCAGTCCTCGAATCCGAGTGTATGTGGAAGTAAACAAGCCAAATCTCCACGTCCACAGCTGGACTCGATTCGAGTCGAATTCTGGTATCGACTACTTTTCTCTTTCTCTGGAGAAAATCAATTTCTCAATCTTTTTTTCGCCCTTAATATTTCGCATTTGGGACAACATGATTATATGATAGAATTTTTTTCTTGTCTATACAATCTGCAAGCTTTATATCACTATTGAACAAACAGTGTACTGCTATGCAATAAAGAAAAATCGGTGAAATAGAAGAAAAGATCGTACGATACATAACTTCTTGTTCTAGTAAGCTTTTCCACGCTCTCGAATAGAAATTCTAAAGAAAAAGACGTTGAAAATGCCTTTTGTATCTGCAAAATGTTCACACTGTAGATCCACTCCGAGATCCAAAATATTCTTCGTAACCTTCTTCGACCCGAGTCAGATACTTATTGGAGCAAGTAATGATGTCATATCGTTCGGGCATTCCACCATGGAAGATCTTCTATGATCTTCTGATATGGAAACCGTAAGTAGATGTTTTTGTCTTCAAAAATCATTGTATTTCTTTGTATGTAACATGAAGATATATGATTGTTATGCTGAGTCATGTAAACCCTTGTACTTTTTTTGGAGAACTATCGTTTATCATTGTGCTTCTTGAATTTGGATGGAGGAAAAATTTTCACAAAGTATTCCCTTTTTGATGACACGATGGCAAGATGACCTTTGCGCTATCCTGCCGATCTCTGATCAATTTATTATTACACGGTATTGGAGATAATTTCGAAAAGAATAAAAAGCCTTTTTTATTTTACAATAGCAATCTGTTTTTTTTTTTTGTCAAAGTCTTATACTAAAACTCCGTTGGATTTGATAAGTATCCAACGACTGTATTTAGTACTTAACATCATTATATAAATTAAAAATATGTTATTATGTAAAGTGTCATTTCGGTGCTATTGTGCATACAGCTGGTTGAACAGTAGCCTGTCGTCGTCGTTGTCGTATACAATTCTTTATAGTATTGAAAAATGTCTGTCGAAATAAAGTTGATGTTAAACAATGAATATAAAAAGCCAAAGAAAAATTTGCATTCAAGAATATAGTCAATACAGCAGTGATAATGAAGAATGTATAATATTTTGTTACATTCTGTTCATCAACTAAATAGATTGTAAGCATACGATATGTACCATAGGGTAATGTACATATAAGAAATAAGATAATTTTTGATAACATAAGAAGAATCATTTGATTTTGAAGTTGTTGATTATGACGAACCATTGCTACACTTCTTACTTTTTGATAAACAATAATGAGACAAGCAATCATTAATAATGCAGGTATGAGAATATTTATCCATATTTGTAGAACAGGCCAAGTAAAATAATAGAATATACCATAATCAGTTAAGTTTTCGTGTGATGGACCACAAATAACATGACTAAATGGAAATGCAACAGTAAAAGATGATTGAAGAACATGACTATTGAATGCTATGGTACATAGAATAGTCATAAGAAGAATTATAATAACATTTTTCTTTGTACATAATTGTTTTGTACGATGTGGTAAACGAGCACGAATTACTCGATCAAATGCTATAAAAACTAATAGCCAAGGTGATATTGTTTGAACAAAATTAATAATAAATGTTCGAAATCGACATAATGAAATATAATAAGGACTTAATTGAGGTAAACCAAGATTAATAAGAAAAAAATCATAGAGACTCATAAATAAATAGAGCATATCAAATATTGTTATATTAAAAAAAAGAAGAGTTGTAGAAGTTGAACGAAGTTGACGTTGAGAAAATGTCAATAAACTACATGAATGTCCAATAAGACCTAATGAGAACGTAACTACATAACCATACATTCCTATTGCTGATGATATTGATGTTGCAGACATGATTTAACTTATAACTTGTTAGTGAAGTTAATAGTTAGAAAAACTAGTGGAAAAAACTTTTTCTTTTTAGTGTTTATCAACTAAATATATATAGAATAAATATATTGTATTTTTCATGCGTGTGTGTAATCATGTATTAAATTGTCATTTTCATGAAGGACATTTCCTCATGATTGACGTCAGCAGAAACACCATGACCCTACCTACTGTTTGTTTTTTAAGGAATAATACACAATGTGTATGATAAAAAGATATACAAATGATCAGAAAGTACTTTTAAAAATTCTAGTTTTTTGTATCTTTAATTAATATTAAATATTAAAATTCTTAATGAAGATCGGAAGATAATTTTATATATTTATTAAAAAGAAACATCTGCTCGTATTAGTAAAAATCTTCTTTCTGAATTTCTCAGAAATATTCTCTTTTCATTTCTCGATTTTTACAGACGTATTTTTCTTCCAATAGAGTTTATATATTCGTCATTAAAACGATACTCTAGAATTATTATTAAACACTTTTGGTTAGATAAATTACATTTTAATTTATTTCAATAAAATCGAACAGAATAAACAATAAAATTTTGATGTATTCTATGATTAACTAAACTAATATCAAATACGATATAAGTTTTGTACTCTATTAAAATTGTAATGTAACTATTGTAAAATTTTAATCAACCATTAAAGATAAACATGTATGTTATCATGCTGTTTTCTATGAGATAAAAATTAACGAAGGAAATATTTTTCAACTGTTAATCGCCAATTGAAATAATATTTTGCTCGTAACTAGAACTAATTGGAAAGAATCTGTAAGAATTTCTTCCCATAGATCTTTTCCAATGAGTTATAATCGTTTTATCAGATTTTCAGCTTAGCACAAGGTATTCATAGGAATATCAAAAAGAATAAATCTTCTATTTTGGCTGAAACTCGCAGGATATACTCAGGATCAAGAGATATATTTACAGACAAAAAATTTCTTCTTTTTGATTTTTTTATGAATATCTTATCCTAAACTGAAAATTCAATAAAATAGTCATAACTCATTGAAAAAGTCTACAGGGAGAATGTCTCTTAGGCTTTTTCTAGTGAATCCTATTTTTGAGCAAAATATCACTTTGATCAGCGATTAACAAACTTATATATTTCCACATAAGACAGTGATCGGATGTCAAAATTCGATAATATCAATTAAGATTCACTCGTTCTTAATCAAAACATTCAAAACAAAGAGAGAATATATAGTCAAACTTATATCAATATGGAAGAATTCTAACCTATTCTAAGTATGAAAGCATTTTTAGTAATTCAGTCTAAAAATAAGTTTCATAAAGTAATGAAATTGTCTCATAAGACAGGCACCAGTAATGAAAGAGCAAATTTACTCAATTTTTGAATAGAACGAGCTTTTTCTTTATGTATATTTCTTTTGATCTATAAACTCGCATGGATGATTTTCCGACTCATTATGCAAAACTACATTTACTTTGGGCATACACCCAAAGTAGTGGCGTCATTATCTTATTTTCGTATAGGAAGCTTGAAGAAATTTTCTTTTTTTTCTTACGTAATGATAGAGAAAACGATGCTCTATTTTTCTATGCTATTTGATCATATTTCAACTAATATTCCTAATAATAAAATTTCGATAAGAATTGTTTTTGTGTAAAACTTGAGCATGTTTTAAAAAAACAATGGCCGTGGGTATTTTTGCAATAACTGAAAAAACGTAGATTAGTTCATTTTTTTTTGTGCAATTAGTTTTGCATAATGAGTTTGGAAACAAACTATGTGAATTTCTATAGCAAAAGAAATATACAGGAAGGAAAAGATATTTTTATTAAACAATAGAGCTAATATGCGTACCCTTGTAGAATTCAACGAACTATATCTAATTTTGTAAAAATATCGTAGAAATAATTTTGGTCAATTCTTTCATCACTGACGCCTTTGACAGATTTCATGCTCCGCTAAATATATTGCGGCTTTAGTTGTAAAACAAAAAAGAAAAAAGCATTAAAAAGAAAATAATTCAAGGTCACTTGTCAACAACATATTTCTTCTCATTGAGTAATTCAGTATTTTTATCTAGCATACAGTCAAATACGATAATTTGGACTGTTGCGATCTCAAATTTATAATGCTTGGATTTTTCATAATGAGAAATAACACAATAACAAATATGTTCATCGTTAGTGAATTATTAAAAACTTTCAAAATAGTTATAACGATAGTTTTTGATTATAAGCATTTCAGAAAATTTAATCAGGTTCATTACTATAAAACATAAACTAGAAAAAATAAAACGTTTAAATCATAATCTATTTAATTATTAGTTCAATTCATTACTGGTCTTTTTTTAGCTAAGAACATGAGTTTTGGTAGAGTCTTGTGGGACAAACTTTTTTATGTCTCGAATCTTGTTTGTTCCATTAACTGAAAGACGATTGACTGTACATTTGAAATCCACAGTTTAAAAACTCGATTCCGTTCGAGGGGCTATAAAAATGCGGAAAATGATATTTAACAACTAAGATTTTCTTTATAGGATTATATCTATGATTCAGTCTAAAAAAGGCCACTGGTATTTCAGATGCTTTACGGCAATAGCTTGTCAGTTGAGCCAAGATAGTTGAACGCGACTGAAATTCATCATGATTTTTTTTCTACGAAAATCTAAGATTTAGAAATAGTAGATATCGTATAGGATCGCATTTTGAACTCGTGCAGTCAGTTGCCTTCTCTAGTCGAACTTTGTTCGGGTGGTAATCTCATTCTTTTTTCTATTATTTATTTAAATATTAAGATATTTATTAGAAATAAAAAATTCGGGACATTGGTTTTTTTCTATATTGTCTCATCCCGAAAAAATTCTTAGAACAATTTCGATTATCCTACGGAATGGACAAAACGGGATTTTTCAAGATCTGGAACTCTAATTTTTATACATTAAAATCAAAACGAAAATATGAAACATTCGAATATTAAAATATACTATCATTTAAAAGAAAGAGCGATAATGTGAAGTCATCCATCCAACTATTATGAAAAAGATTACTTTGAATATGCTTTATTGTACTATCGAAAACAAATTTGTATTAACATATGATGTTTGATTGTAGGCTACATAATACTGATGAAACCCTTTTTTTCTGCCTAACAGAAAAAGTTAGAATTCTATTGATTTGAAAATTAGAAGTGTTAAAGAAGGTCAAACAGTCAAATTTGAATATAAATAATAATAATAATATATTTATCTTTTTTTAAATTAATAATGCTTTACGAGTAATAAAAAAAAAGGATTGATGATTATTATAAGAATAAAACTGATAGAATACATGATATAGTTTTTAGCATGGTAATTATTTCAACTATCATTGTTAAATAAAACTTCGAATGAAAACAAAATTAATGAATAGTATTGTATGAAATAATCATAATACTCTTATGATTCTCACTTTTATACATGTTTTATTACAAATAATAATTATTATGAAATCATTAATATTGTATTATCATACTCTGCCAGTAGCATTATACTTGACCTTAAAAAGTTCACTAATAAAAAAAGTATTACAATAATTGAAGAAAATCTTATTCACATTCAAGTACTGGATAATTGAATCTCTAATTTTATCTCTTAAGTAAATTCATCATCAGTATCATTTCAACTTACATAACAGGAAATGAAATGATTACTATTATTAATTATTACGTTACGATGGGAAAATGCAGAAAATAAAACTATCAAAAAGAAAAAAAACGTAGAATTAGTAACGAACGATCGCCATGAAAGAATGAAAGTGCATCAATCAAACTTTGATTACATTTAAATTACGTTTTCGAAAATTTTTGACATTTTACTTTTTGAAAATTTTTTCTAGCTTCGTTTTTCTATCCATTCATTATTACAATCAAATGATGTATTCAATAAATCGATTTCATATGAAACAAACTGAATAATCAAACCTACTTCAGTTCATTAGTATTTAATTATTTGATACTTATCCAATACATTGACTCAATTGCATATAACATGTTATTGTAAATGCTATACATGACTTTTTATTCTTCTATGTTCGACTTTCAGCAATCCAATCAGAAAAAGACATTGTTTCAATCTTTTTGAACGCGAGTTATTTCGTTTATTTCGAACAGTTATGCAAAGAGATGTACAAAAAACAAACACATTTTCACTGTTGATTTAAAAACATAAGCACCATGAATCATGCACACTTAGCGTAGTGTTATTAATAGATGTGTATATAGATATATAAACAAAAGAGTCAAAGCGTATTGCAAACAAAACATTGGAATGTTTACATATATAAATGTTGCACAATTATACAAAAGCAAAGAAAAAAAAAACCTAATCAATAGAATGGAATGATTTACTATCAAATTAAAATAATTTTTTCTTTAAAAAAGTTTTTTTTCATATGAATGTAAATTATGTACTCCACCTTCAATTTGAGCTGATGCTGTACGTTTTTCAACTTTAATAATACCTTGATTACATTCATCATGTAATTGTTGAACTGATTGACAACCAATATCTTGTAATGATTTTTGTACACCTGTATAAAGATAACCACCAATAAATCGATGAACACTACCTTTATCTACAACACTTCCTGTAACACCTTGTGCAACTTTAATATGATCACTTTCGGAATAATATCGACTTGCAGCAGATAATTCTTGACATGCATTCATTGCATCAAGACTACCCATACCACGATCTAATTATGAAAGAAAAAAAACAAGCTGTTAGCACAATGCTTGCAAGATTAAAATGTGAAACACAATGTAATTGTTGTTAACTGATCATAAGGAGATTGTTTTATTCTATCTATTTTGGAATACAATTCTTCAATATCCTTTTACTTAATCCTTCAGAAATGCAATAAGGAAGTAGTTCAAATATTAAAACGAGATGTTATTCATATACAATCTGTAATCGTATATCAAAAATGGCTGTCATATCTGTGCAGT